AATACTATTTTCTCTATTTACCTTAACTCTTTGAAAAGTGGATAAGCTATAAAGGAAGGAACAAAATTCTTTGAGATGATATAATTTAGTAACCTTTCCAATATTTCTGGCTAAAATATCAAAAAGAGGCACCACTATGAAATGTCATCTGCAGTATCCCATAGCTGGTAAACTTATTGCCTTTTCCTCAGTCTGGAATTCCTTGAAAACTTGGCTCCTACATTTGGCGCCAATCTATCCACCATCTATGATACTCCTCCTTGTATCATCTTATCTGAAAAGCTGTTCCTCTATTCAGAAGTCCATATTTCAATCTTTCTATGAACACATTATATTTTTACTTATAGAATCCCAAAAGGAACCGGATTTTCCAATGGCAAAATATCAAATTGCAGAGAGGACTCTCCCAGCTCTCGTTCCCACTCTCAATGGAACCCATTCAGGGTTCCTACAAGGTTGTGCTGGAGAAGTCAGGAAGAAAAATAGAGCACTCCTTTGAGGTGAAAGAATATGGTAAGAATTGTACATGTGTAAGGCATGTATGATATTTAATATTGGCAAATTTTTACCTACAGGTAGCAAACAAATGTCTAGCATATGATAGTTGAAAATTAGCAAGCCTTTTTCACTGGATATTTACTGTATACTTTTCATGAATTTCATGCACTGCCTCCTTTAATCCTTACAATAGTCCTCTGAGGCAAATACTAGTATTGTCTCCATTTTACAAATAAGTATATCAATACTAGAAAAGTTAGCAATTAAATAGATCCTTGCAAACCAATACAAGCATAAATTGTTAACCAATACCTGGGTCATTTACACACACTATACATCTTTTCTTTGTATCTTATAACTGTAGGTATTTCCTGGGACTTTACATGGTTCTCTATAACCTATACCTACACTACTTGAATTAACTATGATTCAAAAATTGTACTAACTTATTAATCAACTAAACCATAGTTCAACTAAGCATAGTAATCAACTAAACTCTAACATAGTGGATTTAACATTCGATGATAGTTGATTACTAAATCAGGCCTTCAAGCCATCTTCCTAATTATCAGTTTGATGAATTTTTAATATAAATTAAATATTTTAATTTTTAAAATTAAAAATCCTGTATGACTGAGAAGTCCTATAAGAAAATAGGACCCCCAAGACTTGTTAGAACTGTGCCATAAGAATCACAGAATAGAGGTGTATTATAGGATAACCCCTTACAGAACTGTGAGAGAAGCCAGAAAAGTAAGAGTCCCTCAGAAGGAGTTGACACCTCAGGGAAGATTACTGAAGCATTAGTGGGAGAGTTGGCTGGAGATCTGGGAAGCCAGGCACCTTCAGCTTCCCCAGGGTACCATGTGAGGGAGCAGGTGAAAAAATCTGTGGAAGCCTGTTACCTCTGCACTCTGCATGGCTAACATTTCAGCGGCCTGAGGCCTCCATCAGTCAGCAGGGCTAGCACTGGGGAAGAAGAGCTAGACACAGGGAGAAAAGAATAAAGACAAACTGGAGCCTATTGGCCCCTCTGTTACCACATGTAACTATGATGACCTTCAGAGACTAATAGTGGTGCTTTCCTTCCACCTTTGAAATCATGCACAAATTTAGAGAAGGAAAGTCTAGAAAACGTAGCTCTAGTTTAACCAAGTTAGCATAGTACAAACTGCCCATGGCAACAAAGAGATGCCCATACCATCTCCTTACTGGCATTGTTCCTGTGCTCCCTTTTAGAGTTGAAGTC